TATAATAATCCATATATTACACTTTTGTGTACTCTGATAAGTCATTATTTTTCTCAGATCTAAAGAATTAAAACATAAAAATCAATATTCTTTTCAATTCAACACTAGTGGCATAGTCCACAGTTGAACCTCACTGTTCTTACAGAAATACAATCCCACACTTAAACCAGACAAAAAAAAGGCAGGCTTGTAGTCTTTTAAGGCATGGCTAATAATTCTCCTACCTCTATAAAAGATTAGGTGAGACTGGGAAAAAAGTTCTCCCAAAGCGGTCAGTCTCGAGTATTAAGTATAGTTTTATCCTAAGAGTCTGATTTTCAGAAGGGTTGGGTATTTAGAAGTATTTGAAATACTAAACCATGTCCCTAAGCACCACATTTACTTAAATATCTCCATATTATATCTCCAAATAATGCAACCACTTCCCAGGGCAGTCAGTTTCTATGCCTGACACTTTCAGTGAAGGAATTTTTCCTAATATCCAATCTAAACCTCTCCTGGCACAACTTGATGCCATTTCCTCTTGTCCTGTCACTTGTTACTTGGGAGAGTAGACCAACCCCCACCTCTCTGCAACCTCCTCTCAGGTAGTTGTAGAGAGCAATAAGGTCTCTCCTGAGCCTCCTCTTCTCCAGGCTGAACACCCCCAGCTCCCTCAGCTGCTCCTCACAGGACTTGTGCTCCAGACCCTTCCCCAGCTCTGTTGCCCTTTGTATGAAATCATTGTTCTTTTCCTTTATTAAGACCAAATGGATTAAGTGCCATATTCTATATGGCAGTACTAGGATGATGTGTGGACTCAGAACTTCACAACTTTGGAAGAAATTGATTAAAACATTTTGAAAATCTCAGAAGACTTGCAGAAATGTCCCTTCTGTAATCCTGCATGAAAACATGCCATTCATTTCAGCTATGTATACTTGAGGAGTGTAATTCCTTATTATAGTAGGAATGATTAGTCTGACATTACCGTCTCTGCTGAACTCATCTCTAGCTGAGATTTCATACAACCCAACATTTGAGGTAAAACTGCAAAGTAGAAGTACGCACTTCCTTTCTCTTTTAATCCCATGGATGTGGCAGATAAGTGATACAGACCCAGCAGAAAGCCTCTACTAGTGCAGCTTCATATGAGTTAGGATGCTACAACAGCTGGTTAAAATCCGTAGAATCAAGAAATGGGGCTGAGATCGTGAGTAACCACAACCAGCCACAGAAACCAAACAACATCAGAAAGAAAGGCAGATCCCATCTTCTTCTCTGCTTGGGAAAGAGAAATTACCCTCTGTGGATATAAGAAGTTAGGTATGTAAAAAAATTTGGAACCTCCATTTTCCATACCCTCTCCTGTTCCTTTTGCCCCAAGAGGTCCAAATTTTCCCCTTCTGTACAGAAGCTTCTATCATGCTGTAACCTGAGGTCCTTCCAGAAATACTGCTCCCAGTTCATTTCTGTAAGACCTTTCAAAGAAGTCAGCCTCAAGCACTGTAATCTTACCTTCCATTAAGTAACACTCTGCTGCTACTAAAATTATTCACGGCTTCCTTTTCCCATTTTTTAATCTTTGCACGATTCCAACACCTACCTCCCCTCCATGCTCAAAACATTCCCAGAAACATCTGATGTGCTCTTAGCTGTGCAGATCAGTTAGCCCACTAGCTACTCAATCGCTGCATAAGCTTTTAAAGAGTACTACTTGCCAAGTGTTTGTCTAAAGCCAGGACACTCAGGTGTCAAAGAAAGATGAAAAAACAGAAGTTCATATAGTGTAGTAAATGCTCATAAAAACTGCTCATGTATGGGAAGAATGCATAATCTTTAGTAATAGGAGCTACTTGACTAACTCAAAACTACAACTGCTTGTCTCCCCTGAAGTGAAAAAGTCATCTAACAATCAGGAAGCATTAATTGGAAAAAAGGAGTTCCATCTACACTAAAAACAACCTGTGCTGTTTAGACGGTAACAGAAGCAGAGCTTGCCAAACAAAAGATTTAATTCTTACCTGTCTGATGGTTCCAAATCGAGACAAAGGACAACTGGTACAGCCACGGCCTCTCAAAGCAAACACCTGGTATGAACAAAGCTCTCTTCATTTTCTTCATGCTTCCGAAAAAACTGCACACCTTTGCAGGCTGACTTTGTAAAGGACATTGGCTTACATTAGAGCGGAAGTACCTATCTCCTCAGAGCATTACAGATGCTGCACGTCCTAGAAAGAAGAAAATGTATTAATTATGGAGGGAATAGATCAGTGTGCAGTACTCCAAGCAGCTGAAAGTCCTTCCTGACCTCGGATGTTTCTAACCATTGCAATTCCAAGCAGAGATGGGAAAAACCCCTGGAATTTAAATGACCTGAAATGAGAAGTATTTTTAAAATAAAAAAACACATTACAGAAAATTCACACAAATGTTTATGCTTTACTACAGGAAACCATGACATCACTTGGCTATATTCACACCTTAATTGCTCTGTTGTAAAATTCATAAAATATAGTAAAATGAACTGCACTTCGAATCAGCAGGATTTCTACGGCTGTTTAAACGAGAAAGGCAAGGTAAGCCTTAAATTACAGCAGTTACGTGTGGCCGTGACACACTGGAATGAAAATAAAGTTTAAAAAACCCTTCCTCCAAATACAGACACACTTCTCACAGACTCAGTAGGTCTGTCTGGCAATAATTAAGAATTCTTGAGTGATGCATAGCAAAATACTTTTCTGTTTCTCCCCCCAGTCAGATAATAATACAACACGCTGTTGAATCGACTCAGAAAGGTTTCACGTTACAACAAAGCTGTTACCGCAGGATCGTGATGCTCTTCTAAACGTGGTTCCAGTGGCAAGTGGGCCGTCTCCAGCTGGGGCAGGGTAATCCTGGTTATACACGCACACTGGGGGACGAGAGGCTGGGGAGCAGCCTCGCGGAAAGAGAACCGGGGGTTTGGGTTGACAGCAAGTTGAGTATCAGTCAACCGCGCGCCCTGGCAGCCAAAAGGGCCAATCGTGTCCGGGGGTGCCTCAAGCACAGCATTGCTAGCCAGTCGAGGGAGGTAACTGACCCACTCTGCAATAGTGCGGCCCCACCTTGAGTACTGTGTGCAGTTTTGGGCGTCTCAGTATAAGAAGGACATCAAACTACTGGCGTGTGTCCAAAGGAGGGTGACCAAGACCATGAGAGGTCTGAAGGCCAAGACTTACGAGGAGCAGCTGAGGCCCCTTGGCTTTTTTTCTACACCTTCCTCAAGGGGGGAAGCGGAGCAGGAGGTGCTGATCTCCTCTCTCTGGTGACCAGAGACAGGACATGAAGGAAGGGAATGAAGCTGCATCAGGGGAAGTTCACACTGGATACTGGGTGAAGGTTCTTCACTGAGAGGTTGGTTGGTCACTGAACAGGCTCCCCAGGGATGTGGTCACCGCACCAAGCCTGTCAGGGTTCAAGAAGCTCTATGATTTACTCAAAGCTGCAAGAGGCACGGAGTTGAACTCAGTGACTCAATTAGCAACCTGGTCTAGTGGAAGGTGTCCCTGCCCATGGCAGGGGGGTTGGAACTAGATGAACTTTAAGGTCCCTTCCAACCCAAACCATTCTATGATTCTATGACCCTGATGGGTCCCTTCCAACTTGAGATACTCTATCATTCTAATTTTACAGTATTTGTTCAGTTCTTTCCCATTAACAAATTTAAATTCCCTATCACCACAGTTAAGGGAGAAGCTACCACTGAACGTTTGCATTCGATTTTGTAGAGCATTAACAGAACCCAGCAGACTTAGAAGAGGCAGACAACCAACTCACTACATTACATCAACTTAGTCAAGAGCTTTTTTACACTTTTCAACCCAGAATGCCCATAAATAAGTTCAAACACATAAAAAGGTCCACTTAAGACTTCATTATGCTACATTCGATAAGAGACTACTGACTGGAAGAATGATTTGCCAGACTCAATGCAAACCAGCATTTTTTACTTAGCCGTGAAAGAGAAGCCAACACTTAAAAAATTAGAGCATTAGAAGAAAACATGACAATGTTGTTATTAATTAATAACTTTTTATAGCTCCAATTTAAAAATATTAAATCAAAAACAATTCAAGATTCATGAAGTAAAATCTGGAACTATATACATGCATAATTAAGAATATCTAAATTCTTGTCAATATTTACTTAAGTTTTTTGTACAAATTCTTTCACATAATCATATTTACAAGCATGTCTGTTTAAAACATATGAACATATATCTTTTATAGCATTTACAAATAATTTGAATATAATTTTCTTCTTAAAAATGAATATTTCATCGATCTGACAGATTTGGTTTCATCATATGGTACTGGACAGGTATTTATCCAGTGGGATGGACATCATCATTCAGTTATCTAAATAACAGTCATCCTATTGGTACCCAGAATTATCATATATGGCTTTAAATACCTCCCAAACTCAAAGGATCGTCTCACAAGTACAAACTACAGTCCCTCTGTGGCATGTTTCTAATTAAAGTCTTGAGCCTTTGTTTGGGTTAGATCCACAACTCTGCAAACACATTCTAAGAATGTTCTTAGAAATAAGCAGCCCTTCTAATTTAAAGAAAAACCCCAAACCTGCTTCTGTAAAGTCAAGCACGTATTAAGTATGTATAAAACGGGATGTATGGACTTGTCTAGCTCCCATTATAGATGTTTTCATCGTCTTGAACAGGCAATATTTTGGGGGATTTACAGGAACGAAGTGAGAGAACTTCTTTGAAAGGAATGACTACTTTTCCCTCAAAATATGAACATTTTTTAGGAAACAAAAAGAAGACTGAGGAGGTTTTGTATATTCTATAACTAGGTTACTGACACATTCCAAGCAGCCAGATCACTACTTAGTAACAAGGTCTTGATTCTCAAAGTAACTGAAAACTTGTCAGCTTGTTTGCCTTTGGCTGTGTTAGGAAAAATACCCAAACTTGTGGTTCGGCAAATCAAGTAGCCGTCCCCTTTGAACACTGTTCCCTAGAGCTCCTGTACCGATTGCTCCACAGTTTGTTCTTCTACAGGCTGCATAGCTTCCTGAACATAAACGATGAATTCTGAAGCCTCTCCACCCTGCGTATAGACAGTCACCGTCTCAATTCCTTCCACTTCATCTGACGAGACTACCAGGTGATGCTGTTCAGACAGCTCCACTGAAGCCTGCTGCAGTGTCTCTTGAATCATCAAAGTGTGATTGGCCGATTGCTCCTCTTCTTTTACCTGAGGAGAAATGGAAGAGGTTACAGAAATTTCACCTTTCTAAAAAATACCTGGTATTGTGATGCTTAATGGAAATACAGCTCAGAAATTAGAAGTTAGTTTTGAAAGATTTTACAGAAAATTTGTTGTGAGCACTTTTAAACAGTAAGTGTACAGCCAGAGAGAAGACTGAAAGCAGTAACACAGCACCTCAGTTATACGCAGAGCGCTGCAAAGTTCCAGGAACACAGGACTTTGGAGACAGCTTTAATCTCTCAGCAGTCGTTCATCCAAAACTGCTCTTATTTAAACAAATCTGAAGCCGAACAATTCCTGCAGTAGCACTGAGATGAGAATCCACCGAAAACTGCATGAAAGAACATCTACTGTACCCATTTCTTTCTTTTTTTTTTCTAGCCAACCAATTGCTCATAGAAGTAAAAATTTCATTGTAAATCTTAATGGACTTTTATTAGAAAACTGTAAAATGTAAATGTTACCCAACTAGATTCCTAAGACCTACTGTTTGTGAGGCAGCAATTTTTACATTATTGAAGGGATAGTGACAAAAACAATTGAAGATAACAGAATTTTCACTGAAACTTTTGCTTCTTGTCAATAAGAAAAAACCCAACGCAATTTGGTATCGAATTCCAAAGAATTCAAACAGCTATCTGTCAATAATTAAAATACAGTACTTACTAGAGTTCAAGAACAAACCTTAATTTTTTACCAGATCCATATAAAATTCCTACGCAAACTACTCCAAGCCCAGCAAAAACACATCAGAAAACTGTAAGTCATGCTAAGGAAGTGCTTTCTCTCATGTGTTAGTGATAAATTAACGTACTTCTGAGGAGAGAATGGAACAGCAGCTTTTTGGTATATATGAAAAGGCATTTGTTAGATGTTTTCAATACAATACCCTGTGTTCATTGAAAAGAGCTGTTTAATTTGCTGGATCATAAATGCCAACCCACGAGTTAATCAAATCCTCTCTTCCTTCTCTTTTCAGAAAATGTGTTAGTTTTGTTAAAGGTCTATTTCTCTTTCATTTAGCCTTAGTAAATGTTTCATAAAGTAAGCTTCCAGAGATAAATCATGTTTATTTCTCACTGTAAGAAAATAGCTGATTGAATTTGTAGGAGGTCACATTCTCTACAACAAACACTTTTTCCATATCATCAAGTGCATCTATAAATTGTCCACTTACACAAACAACAGGGAACGAAGACAGAATTGCTGGCTCACCTACATTTCATGATGGAAAGCAGAACTCCATGGTACTTCCAATAACCATATGACGTGTAATAGGAAGAGAACAAAGGATTGATAGATATGTTTACTGGATTTCAGTGTACCCGTGTATCTCAGAGCAGTGTATGGTGTGCTCTCTGCAGCACTGAAATCGCAAGGTAGTTTAAAAATAATTGGTCAAACAAGGTAAATTCCACAAAGTGTGGAATCAAAATACTGCAAATTAGAAAAGGGCTGGGTACTTTTAACCAGGTGATTCAAAAGGTCTTCTCCGATTCTAATTTATATTACAATGTTTTGTAAAAAAGAGCATTAGAACAATCAAGTTCAAGAAAATATAATAAAGATCAGTATTGTTTCTTAAGAGGGCAGCAGGAACAGAAGGGAAGAGCTACAGCAAAGCTTCCAAGCATGTGTTTGACTCCTTAGAGAGCAGCAAAGAAAAAATAAAAAAGTTCTGGATGTTTGTTTTACTGATGCTCTTCAATAATTTGATTTTTCTCCTCCCACGCAACCATTCCCATTGTTGTACACGGACCTTTAACTTCTTTATTCTGTGTTTAAAATATCTGTCAGATCAAGAGGATTTCAGAGACACACAAACCCCCTAGGACTTCGTATCACTTTGAACTTTCACTCAATTCATCAGGCTACACAAAGCTTTTTCTTCAACAATAACAAGTATGTTCAGCTATTAAATTATCCAGCGGTCCCAGAGTCAGTACGCCTGTGATATTCTGATGAAATATATGTGGATTTTATCTGGTGACAGATTTAACTTCCAAAGAGAATCTTGCCATTGACCTTACCGCAACGGCACACTCGTACCTCCTGATGCTGACTCTGGCTTTGTTGCACAGGGCTCAGATTGTAGGGATAAAACTACAGGAATGGGCTGTAGTCCTCTGCACATCCCGTTAAGTTTACCAAGCACATGTGACCATTTTAATTCAAAGATATTTTAAACAGCTTCTGCTGAAGTTCAAGTTCAACATCCTACAAAAGCGGGTGATGCTGGATGCTTGTCCTGACACAATAAAAGTATCAACCACCATCAGTAATTGATGTTGTCATAAAATGTGAGTATCCCCAAGTTACCCTGTTACTAATGGAAGCTTGAGACTCTCTCCAAAAAGCAAGGAGATAAACCATGAACAGAAACACAGCCCTGTTAACTTTCTTCTCATAAACCTCTTTTACATTTTTAAAGAAACCCTCAGACCCACAGAAAGCAATAGGAATGTTGTGAATTCAGACACAGGACTCCCTTTTCATAACTGTGTCCTCCTATTCCCTGGGGTTACCTGCTCCAGTGGCAGATTCTGTGCAAGATGGAAGGATCCACTCAAGACCTGCTAACAAAGATTGTAATAGGCAGACTGGAATTAAAAATGTCAGGTAATTAAAATCTCACAGCTTGTTATGAGTCAGCTCACAACTACAGCCTTTGATGTCAGAGATCTTGTGCTGGTTTTGCCTGGGATAGAGTTAATTTTTTTTCATAGTAGCTGGTATGGGGCTCTGTTTTGGATTTGTGCTGGAAACAGTGTTGATAACACAGGTATATTTTCATTACTGCTGAGCAGTGCTTACACAGAGTCAAGGCCTTTTCTGCTCCTCACCTCATCCCACCAGTGAGAAGGCTGGGAGTGTACAAGAAGTTGGGAGGGGACACAGCCAGGACAGCTGACCCCACGTGACCAAAAGGATATTCCGTACAGTATGACATCATGCTTAGCATATAAAGCTGGCGGAAGAAGAAGGAAGGGGAGGATGTTTGGAGTGATGATGCTTGTCTTCCTAATTCACCGTTACGCATGATGGAGCCCTGTTTTCCTAGAGATGGCTGAACACCTGCCTGCTGATGGGAAGCAATGAATGAATAACTAGCTTTGCTTTGCTTGTGTGTGGCTTTTGCTTTGCCTATTAAACGGTCTTTATTTCATCTCACGAGTTTTCTCACTTTCACTCTTCTGATACTCTCCCCCATCCCAGCGAGGGAATGAGTGAGCGAGCGGCTGTGTGGTGCTTAGTTGCTGAATGGGGTTAAACCAAACAAATATATAATTAGGGGTGCCTAATATTCGGCATTTTAATTATGTAATACATGCTAACTTCTCTTTACTAAATATAATCCTCTGACAAGCCTCAGGTCAGAAAAATTACACATTTGCTAAGAGCTGCAAGAATGCATAAAACAGTCTGAGAAGGATCTAGTGCAGCCTCACTTTAGTTACTCTAAATCAAAACCCTAAAATAATTTTGAATATAGTTTTGTGAGTGTACATAAATAATGGAGAGGAAAATAAATAAAGCATAGTTGACGTGAGAATGAAATGAAACCAGAATCTCATTCAATTCAATAGCAGCAATCTAATACTTATTCAATTTTATAGGCTTTTTAAATGAAAATGGCCAATAAAGAAAGTTAATTTAAGCTCCCTACCTGACGTTATCGATGTGGTTTTATTACCCTTGTCATGCAGGGTAAGGAAGACTGATGCCCTTATTTCTGGTTGTATTGGGTTTGCATGTCACAGTTTTGGTAGTGGGGGAGCTACAGGGGTGGCTTCTGTGAGAAGCTGCCAGAAGCTTCTCCTATATCTGACAGACACAATGCCAGACGGCTCCAAGACGGACCCACTGCTAGCCATGACCAAGACAATCAACAACAGTGGTAGCACCTCTCTCATAACATATTTAAGAATATGTGAGACAACACTGAAGACATTGAGGTCAGTGAAGAAGGAGGCGGAAAAGATGCTCCAGGAGCCAGAGCAGAGATTCCCTGGCAGCCCGTGGTGAAGACCATGGTGAGGCAGGCTGTCCCCCTGCAGCCATGGTGGAGCAAAGATGCACCTGCAGACTGTGGAGGACCCGACACCGGAGCAGGTGGATGCCCAAAGGAGGCTGTGACCCTGTGGGGAACCCGTGCTGGAGAGGGCTCCTGGCAGGAGCTGTGGATCCATGCAGAGAGGAGCCCACACTGGAGCAGGTTTGCTGGCAGGACTTGTTACCCCATGGGGCCCAGGCTGGAGCAGGCTGCTCCTGAAGGACTGCACACCGTGGGGGGACCCATGCTGGAACAGTTCATGAAAATCCATAGCCCGTGGGAAGGACTCATGTCGGAGAAGGTCATGGAGGACTGTCTCCCATAGGAGGACCCCACACTGGAGCAGGGGAAGAGTGTGAGGAATATTCCCCCCCTTGAGGAGGAAGGAGTGTCAAAGTGTGATGAATTGACTGGGAAAACCTCATTCCCTGTCCCACTGCACTGCTCACGGGGAGGAGGTAGAGAAATCGGTAGTAAAGTTGAGCCTGGGAAGAAGGGAGGGGTGGGGAGAAGGTGTTTTAAGATTTAGTTTTATTTCCCATTATGCTACTCTGACCTTTGTTTGGTAATAAATTAAATTAATTTCCCCAAGTTGAGACTGTTTTGCCCTTGAACATTATTTGGTGAGTGATCTCCCCGTCCTTACCTTGACCTTTCATTATATTTCTCTCTCCTGTCCAGTCAAAGACTGGGAGCGGCTTTGGTGGGCACCTGGCCTTCAGCCAGAGTCAACCCATCAAACTGGTGTTGCTGGCTTTCAGTATCTGTTTCGGACAGCTATCTCTAATCTTTCTGGTTTGACAAATCACCACATTATTTTGGATATTTACATTTCAAATCAGTACAATGTTTACATGCTTCTGCTTGGTTCCTATTAGAGTGTTCCACAGGGAATAATCTCAAAACGTTAATTTACATCCCTCAAATTGAT